CCTCAGGCGAGGACTCACAGCAACCAAAGGAGAGTCCCATGCGGGATGGAGTCAGCGCTGTCCCAGGATATCGCAGGGTGGTTTCCCATGAGAACAATCGGCGCCATTTCCCACCTTCACGGTTAGAGGAGGAACAGCGACAACGTTGTTTTGATAGGTTGATGCTGAAGAAGGCCTTTTAAAAGTTTCACATAAACTCACGTACAAACCTCTCGACAGCGTCCGCCTTCCTCGCGCCCCCTGAGCGGAGAACAGAGAAGCGCCGCGTTCGCTGGGCCTCGTCTGCTCAGCCGTGAGGGCTGCAGGTCCTCCTGGAGCAGTGAGATTAGAAGAAAGAAAGAAATTAAAAACACAGGGTGGGAGAAGAGAAAAGGAAACACATTCTTTCAGGTATGATCAGCTATATTGAAAACCAAAAAGGAGAGTTTAGCAAGATGCCCACATAGAAAATAACATACAAAAGGCAATTGCATTTTTATACACCGGGAACAATTTGAAAATGTACCTTAAATGTGTGTATGTGTGTGTGTGTGTGTGTGTGTGTGTGTGTGTGAGTGTTGCCCTGGCCAGTGTGGATCAGTGGTTGGAGCCCCCAGCACATTGAAGGGTTCAATTCCTGGTCAAGGGCACATGACTGGGGTGCAGTTTCCATCCCTAGCCCCTGTCAGACAGGGCTCGTGCGGGAGGCAACCAATCGATGTGTCTCTCTCACATGGCTGTTTCTCTCTGTCTCTCCCCTTCCATTCTCTCTAAAAATCAATGGGAAAAAAACAGCTTCACTCCTCAGGTAAGGGTTTAAAAAAAAAAGTGTGTGTGTGTTGGGGGGAAGGGAGGCATCCTTCCCAAGAGAGTGAACGCTTTAAGTATCTGAGAATAAGGCTAAGGAAACAGGTAAGAATTAGGCAGAGAATCACAGCATTTCGTGAAAAGAGCTAAAGACGACGGAAAGGACAGCTCGTGCTCGCGGACAGGGAGGCCCGAGAGCACAGACATGTCAGTTCTCCACAAACTGGCCCCGGCGCAGAGCCGTTCCAAGCCCGGGGCCGGGGGGCTTCTGTGAGGTGTGACCAGTGATCCTCAACCTTCCGCGGCAGCACAGGCCCGCGAGGCCCCGGGAGGAGAATCCGGACGGGCCTCGCTCTTTTTCATACGAGGACTTAGAAACCGTGTGGATGTACTAAATACTCAACTTACTTTACGTGGTTAATTCTGTGAGGTGACGGCCACCACGATTTAGAACAAACTGGCAGCGACTCAATTGTTTAAAAGAAGGAGCGCTGGTCCTGCCACACGTGGGGTCGCCGGGTGGCGGGGCGGCCGAGATGTGGACGCACAGACGCTGGTGCGGAAAGGTGGTCACGCGGCTTCCGTGAGTGAAAACCGCAGGCCACAACACTACAGCGTGTCACCGCTCTTTTTGGTCAAAATACACCTATATTTTTGTGAACGCATAGAAAAGCATCTGAAGGAATAACCACAATATTTTTGCTTTTCCTGTGTGTACTCATTTTTTATTAGAGAAAACACATTGTTATGTAACCAAAAACCATAGTCATCAGGGAAAGAAATACTTTCTTTAAAAAATTCACCCTGTTCTTTGGGAGGCTCTCAGGAGAGTCATCACACGTGTGCGGCCCCGCTCCGGCCCCCCTCCCCGCTGAGGACGAGAATTCCTCACTTCTAAGGGGGTGGGGAGCAGCCAGGCCACACGGGGAGGGCCAGTCCGTGTCTCTCCCACCACCGCCTCTGAGCTAAGGTCCCCCTAGGGCCCCGCTGGCCACTGTCCCTCTGCGGAGGCTGCAGGCTGAGCAATCAGGATTTGGGGACAACCTCGCCCCCGGTGTCTCCACCAGCAGAGCAGCCCCGGATGGAGAAGAGGCCAAGCCGGGCCTCGGGCCTCAGATTGCATCTCTGACCCCAGCTGGACATCCCTCCTGAGGCCGGGCCTGGGCTTTGGCTCTCGGGTGGGGTTCAAGGCTCGCACTGCTGCCAGGCCTCACAGCTGGGGTGCTGGTGGGAGGAGCTCTCTCGGGGCCCCAGCACGGCCCCAGTCAGAGCCCCGAGCTCTGGGCCTGGCTGGACGCCATCCCTTCCCCACCAGCCAGGCCACTAACTGAGGCCGCAGTGCAGGCTGCGGGCCAATGACCAGACGGAGGGACGGTCTCGGGAATTCTCCCAGGAAGACGGCATGTCCGGGCTGGGCCAGGGACCTGATGGCTTCACGAGTGTGTGTGTGTGTGTGTGTGTGTGTGAACACATGTACACGTGTACATATTAGGGCTGTCAGATAAAATCCAGGACACACATGCATTTGAGTTTCAGATAAATGAATAGGTTTTCAGTATAAGTATGTCGCCAATATTGCATCCTGCATGTTTACTTGCTAACTCTGGCGGGCCTGATGCATGGAAAGGTGTTGTGCGTGTGCAAGTGTGGAAGAGTACACAAATGTATGTGTGCATGAACATGTGCACGTATACACGTGGGAGGTGTGTGCACCAGATGCAGGTGGCGGTTTTAGGGTGGGTGTGAGCCCCATGTGTGGTCCCATTTCAGGTGTATGTATAATGGCACCTGTGTGGATGTGAACAGGCGTGCATCTACGTGTGTTTGCACTGAGCACACGAAGTGTCACATGCAGGAGTGTCTGCGTGTGCGCACGCTACAGAGTCTGAGAGCTGGAGGAAGCCCAGCTCCCCGGTGGGGAGCCCGAGGCCGGCCCTCGGCGAGGCTGGGTGTGGGCGCATGTGTGTGCACCAGCTCCACCTCGTGCCAGGCACCCTGGCCAGACTCATCGCGTCCCCACCACAGCCCTCTGTCTGGAGGCCCCTCTCACACGGGAAGGACAGGTGGAGCGCGGCCAGGGCTCCCGCCTTGCCCTCTGCGCAGAGCTGAGCCGCGTGCGCTCCCACGTGGGTTACAGAAACGCTGGCCAAAGCACAGGCCAGATGTTGCTCCCCCATCCTCCCCCCCCCACCCTCTCCTGCCCCAGGAGCCAGATGGCGCTGATCCCGGAGTTCCTGCAGGTTTTAGCTCCTGCTGTCCCTCTCCTGCCCCTTGCGGACTTTTCCCCAGGAGGGAACGGGCTGGGGGCTCAAGGACTTTGTCCCGGACCAATTGCTGGGCTGGGCAGTGGCTTCCCCTGGCCAGGGGTCAGGCGCCCGGGATGGGGTCTGTGCAGACACCAGCGCCCCAGGGGCTCCTTGCACAGTGCTCTCCCCTCACTGCCCAGAAGCCACTTGGCGGGCAGCAGCCGGGGTGCCCCAGGTGTGCCCACTCACCCGGTGCGTCCCAGTCGCCCCTGAGCCTTGCTCCTCCTGTGGTGAAGGTGACAGCCAGCCGGCCCGACACCCCCACTGTGTTCCCAGGGCCACAGAGCCGAAGGCACAGTCTGGTGGCTTCCACGGCAGGAGCTCACTCCCTCAGCCTGGAGGCTGGGCGTCCTCGGCTGTGGGCGGCCGCCTTCTCCCTGGTCCTCACTGGCCTCCCTCTGCGAGTCGGCGCCCAGTTTTCTCTTCTCAGGACCCCGTCCTATGGGCTCAGGGCCCACCCCATGACCTCATTTTCACTTAATCACCCCTTGACAGGGCCCCAGTTGCAAATACAGACCAATTCTGAGGTCCGGGGGTTAGGGCTGCAACATATGAATTTGAGGAGGGAGCCCCAATTTACCCATCACACCCACGATGGGCTGGGCGAGGGCTTCTCCCACTCCGCCACCATCACCGGAACCCCAACTTCCTGCTCTTTATTCTGACAAATGAGACCTTTCCTGGAGGCCAAGTGGAGACACACTGCGGAGATCCAGGTGGGGGACCTCATCCGCCCCCCTCCCCCCACCTGGAGAACCGCTTTGGACCGGAGGGGCCGCTCTCGGCCCCTGCTGCTCTGCCCCCTCTGTATCCCTGGACTGCAGTTCAGGGAAGGCGCCCCAGTTCCTGGGGTACTTGGTGTGGCCCCGACACCCTCTCTGGGCCTGTGTCCCCATTGGTGAAGAGAGGCTGCTGGGCCGGAGGATTCCAGAGCCCCAGGTTGGATGGTGGCGTTGGTCCTGGGCGGGGCATGGAGGTGGTGGCCACAGTGGCGGGCGGGGTGGATGGTGCCAGGCACCTGAGCCAGTTCTGAGCATCACGAACACATCGAACACATCGCCACAAACCCGGGGGCTTCAAGCAGCACCAATGCATGGTCTTACCTGCCGTCTGGGGCGGGCAGTCCACACCGGTCTTGGTTTTGTGGGGTGAGGCCGGGTGCGGGGCTCTGGCTCCTTCCGAGGCGGGGGTGGGGGGTGAGGGGATCTGGCTGCGGCCTTTCCTGCGGCGGGAGGCCCTGCATCTCCTGGTCCGAGGCTTCTTCCTCCACCGTCAGAGCCAGCGGAGCCTCACATGGCGGCGCCCTCTCCGCCGGGAAGGACTGATGATCGGCCCACCTGGTCGCCCACGCACGTCTCTGATTTAAGGTCAGCTGATCAGCAGCCTTCACTCCACCTGCCGCCTGGATGCCGGTGCCGTCTAAGGACGCGTAGCTGGAGCCCAGGCTGGGTGTCCCTCTCCCTGAGGCCCGTGCTCGGGGCACCTCCATCCCCCAGACCCTGCTCTGGCCACGCTGCCCAGCTCTCACTGTGATGCTGAGGGGGACCTCCCCGTGGGCCATGGCCTCTCCAGGCTCCTCAGGGAGAGCCCAGGAGCCCCCTTTCCCTGCCAGCTGACACCATGGCCACCTGGAAAGGAAGAAATCAGTTCCCCACGTTAACAGAGACTCCCTCCCCCCTCTTAACACA